CCCCCCCCAAGGCTGTCTCCAGGCGGCCCGGAGGCGGCCAGGAGGGTGCACTCACAGTCGCTCCAGCTGCTTCAGGTCCTGGAAGGCGCCTCTCTCGATGACGCTGACCTGGTTTTCCTCCAGATGCCTAAAACCACAAGGCACAAGCAGGGTCAAGAGCGGTCTGGGGCCTCCCGGGGACGCAGCCCCCTCCTGGGACCCTCCGGACCCCTTCAGGGAAGCTCAGGGTGGTGGGATGGGTGGTGGGACCGGACGGCCCCGCTCCGGGGCTCTCCCCTCCCGCACGCCTCTACCTGACATAGTTTCGCACGCCTCTGTCGTAAACATGCTCCTAGCAGATGTCCCTCCCCTCACCAAACAGTGCTCGGCATGGCCCAGAAACAGGAGAGGGGGTAAAAGGGCTGACTGCACACACACCCAGCCGGCCTCTGCCAAACATGCCCACCACGCCCTCCTCCTCCAAGGACTCAAACACATTCCGTGGACCCCTGCCTCCTGTTGGGGTCAGCCGATGAGGGTCGGAGAGGGGGCTCTGGGGGGCACGCTGGAGGGGACCCCGAGGCTGTTGGTTCCAGCCCTTCCCCCTGCCAGGCGGCCTCAGGGTGGCACTGGCCCTGGAGGGAGAGCTGTGCCAAGTTCGGCTAACTCCTCCCCGGACCGTTCCCTGATGCCCTGGGCAGTAGCAACTCCCTGTGGTCTCTAGCCTGGGAAACCCGTACCACGTCTTCCTGAAATCTCCTACGATTCTCGACTTGGCTCTCCTGGTTTGCCCTGTGTGCGCGTCAGCCTCTCAGAAAGGCCTGTCTAAAGCATGACCCCCATCTGCAGAAGTCTGGGCCCGCAGAAGACCCCACGAATCATTGCCATTTGACTGCAGACAAGAATCTCGAAGGACTGGGCCGTGAAACTTGCACCGGGCCTTCTAAGAAGCCAGCAAGAGCTGCCTGCAGGCCAGCGGGGCCACCCCCATCTACTGGCCAGATGGCTGAGGGCACAGAAGGGCCGTCTGCGGCCAGAGTCTGCGTTCATTCACAGCATTCTGGTATTGTTTAATTTCAACACTGGACCAGAATCGGAAACAGCCCGGGTGAGGACGGCCAGGCGGGGTTTGACTCTTGGACTTTCCCATCTGGGGCGAAACTGGCCCCCCATACTGCAAACACAGCAGAGTCCTTCGATGGATTACTAAGAAAGGAGGCAGGGTGAGACGCAGCCTGACCTGTCTTCATCCAACCTCACCCGCCCGCCGGCCCCAGTCGGCGGCTCCGACAGCCAGGGGCGCAGGTGCACACCATGGAGACCTTCCCGGCTTTCCTTGGTCCCGCCATGGATTGTAAATAAGGGGCAGAGAGAGGAAAGATGCCGAGGAAGGTTTAAGAAACAATGAGGATAAAGAAGACTGCCCAGACTTCCTCAGTGGAGAACTGGAGGGGACACGCTGTCCCAGAGCTGGGATGCTTTATTCATCCAGCCCCGGGAATGCAGGGTCACTTCAGCCTGGAGCTGAAGACGAAGATCACCAACCCCAGGGTCTGTATTAACAGGACTCATAAAGTAGGGGTAAGAGCTTTTCTGGCATAGTATACCAGAATAATATATTTTTTAAAAAAGAAACCATACCAATTAACTGAAAAGATAAACTGCAGTCCCAGGACTGTTCTAGACCCTTCAGAGGATACTGCTCTGATCGTCTGTGAGGGATGTTCAAACTCGCTAGACAGAGAATGGATATGGGGCAGATATGGAAACTGCCATGTCTTCCAGTCTTTCAGATGAGCGGATGCCTTTTGACGTGGTTAGAGAATGGAGCTTTGGTCCCCTAGGCTTGGCTGGTACTGCTGGTAGAGAGCTGGCACCAAGAGTCCACGCCACGAAGCAGACCGAGTCCCCAGGTGGCAGGCTGGGTGTGCACTCACACTCGCGATTGATTTGGGAAGGAGGATTCAGTGTCTCCTCCCTCTGGTACCTCTGAGCATCTACCCTTTCTTCCAGTGACAAGTCTTGGAGACGCACCTCACCACTAACAGACCCAGGGCGGGGGGGGGTCTTGCTTCCCTCTCCCATCCATGCCCATCTCAGACCTGCTACCTGTCCGTGCAGCCATGAATGTGCAGCAAGAGCCGTGACCTGTCTGAGGCTCTCCCTCCCCCCTCCTCGGACCTCTGGGAAACCCCTCGATGGATAACACGCATCCTGACTGCTCTGCTGATGCTGGAGCGGCAGAGGAAGCCATCCTCTTCAAGGAAGCTAGCGTGCTCCTCCGCCTGACGCTGCTCTCCTCCCAGGAGCCCGGATGCTCACGTATCATCTGTCACCTGCCATTCTCCCTGTCACTAGAACTGAGCTCTGGAGTCGCTCTTCCGGGCTGGCCAATCCAGCCGCAGAATTCAACACCGTGTCCAGTTGTGCGTGGGAATGCAGGGCTGCAGAACGTGACACCGCGTCCAGCTGTGTGTGGGAACGCAGGGCTGCCCAGCCGCGAGTTCGGGCCGCCCAGGACAGGGAGTGTGATGTCGAGGTGTGGAGACCTTCTCATGGGGCCGCCAAGCTGACTGCTACAGAGCACGGGCTACTCACAAGACTCGGAGGTTCTTGAGTCCAGCGAAGTCCGTCTTGGTGATCCTGGTGATGTTATTTCTGTCCAGGTCCCTGCAGTGGAAAGCAAAGCCAGGCCAGACGTTGGTGGGTGGCACTCACCGGTGTTTATCCCAACCCTGCATAGACTAGAGGGGCTGGGGTGGCGCGGGAGGCGAGTCCGGTGATGGGAGAGCCCCTGGGCGCACCCGGCCAGCCGCAGGCTGCGGTACAACAAGGTCTCCCTTGTGCCCGGCGGAGCTGTTATGTTTAGCTGCCTCGCTCCTCTGGCCTCTTACGCCAACAACAGACCCGCCTCGTGATCCCCTCCCCAGCCTGTGGTTACCAGACCTCAGCAGATGCATGGGCGGGGGCGTCCCCCTCCCCCCGTGTCAGGGATTCCCGCAGTGAGCCCCGGATCCAGGCCCGACTTTCAGACATCTCCAGCTCCCTCTGGACACAGGGGTCCCAGGAAAACATGTGCAACTCAACTCACACAAACACCCCCTTCTACGCACTGGAACTGAGAACTACTGAGGCCTGCTGGAACCCATCTCCTCTCCAGAGCCAGCAGGCCAAGAGACGTCCTGGGTCTGCGTCCTCGCACGCCGGAAGCCAGACGCCTCTGCGCTTCAACGGGCCAACTGTCCCACCACCTCCCCTGGGAACGCCCTGGAATTGCACCTCCCCTCGCTCCAGACCAGGAGAGCCCAGGCTCTCCACCCGGTGTCGACGCCGGCCTTGCTCTCTCCAGATCGCCGCACGGTGCCACACAGCACTTCAGCCCCGCGCTCCCCGACACAAGAACGGCTCGGCGATCCAGCATCCTTGTGCAGGTGGCTTGTCACCCCAGGAAACGCAGCCACAACATCACATGATCTTAGGGCTCATAACCCAAACACGGGGTGTACGACTGTCCCAGAGGCATCCTCCGGTGGTGACGGCGCCACCCGAAGCCCACCAAGCTCCAGCTGGGTTCGGCCCGCGAGGTGCAAGCAGGAAACCATTCTCCAAGGAATGAGAACTGACATGGAAATAAAAATCCAGCTCGCAAGTCCTCGCGTAACCTCACCCGATTCCACCTCCCGCCCTCAAAACTGCATCCACGCAGCTCCTCAGGGAGCCGGAGCTGGGTCTGCCCTCATGAGATTCCACAGGGCCGCGGGCACACGGGTGGGGGGGAGGCAGGGCTTCCAGGGCAGGGGCACCTGTGCCCGCTCCCCACATCACAAGCCACCCCACCCCCCCGCAACTGCAGGGCTGACAACACAAGTACAAATGTGAGCATCAGAAGCCGGCTGAATCCCGGCAGCTGGTGCCGGCGATGGATCGCCACACGGGTAGTTCCAATGAATGTGTGTTGTGCCAAGGTGGGGTGCTGCGAAACACCACGGGGTTCCGGGGGGGGGGCCCAGGCATACAGAGTTAGGAAGCCCGAGCTCCCCTTCCAGCCCACAGGCCAGGTACGGGAAGCATGCACACCGACCTGGCCGTGGAGGCCCTCAGCCCAGGCACGGAGGCCCAGGACGACGGCTCTGAAGGTTGAAGACGCCCGGGCCGCTCTCTCAGGCTCGGCAGAGGAAAAGCCCACGTGGTTAGGAACGTCCACGCCTCCCCACGGAGCTCAGGGCACCCCGTATTCATGGCACCGCGTGGCACCATAACCGCCATAGCGCGGACCCACAGGCTGTCCACCGGACCAGGCTGCACACTCAGAGAGTACACTTCCCAGCTTGCCCAGCACGCATCACGTGACCAGATCCCTTCAGACCTGGTGGCTACCATGCCGGCAGAAGTGATGGCTGTCTGCAGGCCTGAGCCAGAAAACTTCCTGCCCCTCCCACCCCCAACCCGCACCCCCTTCTCTCACACACACACACACACACACACACACACACACACACATCTTGGGACTGGGATGAGAAGAGACCATGGAGGGGGCCTGATGCTCAGAGTCCCAGCCCCTGGATGGCCTTACATGTACATGTCACTCACACACACACACACACACACACACACACACACACACACACACACACACACACACCACACCTGCTTTCTAGGGGATTCCAGGAAGGTCGCCCAACTCCACCGAGAGCCCAGCACTCACTGCCCTGGAGGCTGGGCTGAAAGACTCAGTATCAGAGCTTTCTTCCCACTCTTCCTGGTCTTGTCAGGAAGTGTGCTGAAAGGTGGGCTTTGCTCGCTCCCTTCAGCAGGTAAGACACGCTGTGTCCCCACCGACCTTGCTCAGGGCCGGCCCCAGGCTCCAGGCTCCAGGCTCCCAGGCTCCCAGGCCCAGGCTCCTGGCCAGTGGCCCTGTGCTGGGGGGGGAGGGGGCTCTGCTCCACCTGGTCACTGCGGTGAGGCCTGTTATTACCATCTCCCTGTCCGGATGAGGCTGAGGCTCAGTTTTCTCCGCTGGTTAGAGGAAGTTTTGGTGTTTGTTTTTTTTTTTTTTTTACCCACAAAGCAAACTTGCCATGAGATGGAATGTCAGTACGTGGTAAGGCTGGGATTCAAACCCAGAGAGACTGAACGCAGAGGCCAGTTTTTACCAGGACACCCAGCGGCCCCAACACCCCTGGGGGCAGAGTGTTTCATACCATGTCATCTGCTAAATGAAGGAGAGCCGGGAGCCCGAGGGGTGTATATAAACAAACAGAAGGTCACAGAAGATGATGCCACATCTCCCCTCCTGTCTCCCCGGGAAGACCCCAGCTCCCTCTGCAAACCTGGGAGGGGGTGCGTTCCCTCGGTACCCCGCTGGCACCCACAGACATCGGCGGTGCTGTCCCCACCCGGCAGGCAATCATCTGTGCTCACTCCCATCCCTGTCACCGAATCACAAAACCAACGCTCGAGTGGGAGCTGGCTCCGCGGCGGCATTTGCACATCTGTTCAACACCTTGGGTGGAGGGGGAAGGAGGGGGAAGAATTCAGAACACTGGAAGACCATGAATCAAAAGGGACATTTCCTAAGCACTCCCAATGGGATACCTCCTTCGTTCCTTCGTTCCTTCATTCATTTGCAAATTAATTCAACAAACCCGTCTTGGCCACTAGGTATTTCAGAGTCTGTCATAAATGCTATGGTATAGTCCGGCGGGGAGACAGCACGCAGAATTTAGTGAGGAAGCAGTGGCCATCCATGGTTTTTTAAAGCCTACTTGGGAAACTTTTCTTAAAAAGCAACACACGGTACACGACTGGGTCAGCAAATTGAACTCTGCATTGGGGCGTGAGGCCCCGGCATAACGCAGCCTGAATGAGTGGGTGTGGCTGAATGAGTGGGTGGAGCTGTCAGTTAGAGACCCCAGCTCTCCATGTGCCAGAGGCGTGAACAAACCCAAGCGGAGGAGAGGGCTGTGCGGATGGCAGGGGTCACGGGAGGGTTCGGGAGAAGGTGGCGCTCTAATTGAGACCTCAGGAGCCAGCCGGGCACAACCAGGGAGGCACAGGAATGTGTGACAGGCAGGAAAGGGATTCTGGGTAAAAGAGGCAGCATGGATAAAGGCCCAGAAGCACTGCCTTAGGGTAAAATGCAAGCAGACATCTTTCTTTTTTTGGCTGTTAAAGTGAAAGAAAGAAAAGCAGGTTCCTCCTCTTTCCTTTCCTTTCCCTTCCCTCCCCCTTCCTTCCTTCCTTCCTTCCTTCCTTCCTTCCTCCCTTCCTTCCTTCCTTCCTTCCTTCCTTCCATCCATCTTTCCTTCCTTCCTTTCTTCCCTCCCTCTCTTCCTTCCTCCCTCCCATCGCTTTTCTCCTCCTCCCTCCTTTCTGTCTACCTTTATTCAACCGCCGCTCTGGCCCTGGCATTCCGCGGGTGGCTAAGGAGAGAACGTTGAACAGGGAAGCCATTCTCGTTCCAGGGCTCCCGTCTCCTGGGTCGGGATGGTAGACAGGTCCCAGGGCAGCCCCTGAGCGCCTTCTCCCTCCTTCCCCTCTCCTGCAGTGTGGGACAGACCTGGTGTCACAGCGCAGCCACAGGGAGACGGGTGGCCCCGAACTTGTGACCCGGCGGGGCAAGCAGTCAAGTTAGGGAGGCCGGGGCAAAGGTGAGAGCAGCCCCCGCCCAGGGCCCAGTGGACGGGAGGCGAGCCACAGCCCAAAGCCCACGGGCTGCAGGGAAAGGGTCTCCCTCCCCGGCCTCCACCAACCCTGGGAGGCTGCCAGAAGGAGAAGCGACCAGAGCCAGGTAGACCAATAGGGAGCAACGCCCCAGCGAACATCAGGAGGACAGACTCCGGCCAGGGAAGCGTCTCAGGGTGAAGCCCAGGTGCCAGGCCCTGCCGTGGCCAGGAAGACATCTTGGAGAAGGGCCGTGGATCTCAGAATAGAGGACCAGAAGCCAGCGGAGGGGGTGGGGGGGGAACAGAAGGATCCAGGTGGGTGAACAGAATGGAAAAAAGTGTTAAAAAAAAAACACTCGTCCGGCTGACCTAAGACTCCCCACAGCCACAGGGAGTAGAAGTTTAGCCAGATATGGGGGCTCATGCCTGTAATCCCAGCTACTCATCCGGCTGAGATCTGAAGACCACCACACCTGAGACCGGCCCAGGCAACACAGTCACAAGGCTCCATCTCAACCCCCGTGCTGGGTGTGAGTGTGGCAGTGGGACCTGGCATCCCAACCATGTGTGTGTGTGTGTGTGTAGGTGGGGGGCGCGTTGCTGTGCTCAGGGCCACGGCCGCTCCAGCCTAGCCCTCGGGAAAACCAGTCACGAGAACTCATCTCCACCAAGGAGGCTAGACACCGTGGTGCACTCCTGTCAGCCGGGCTACTGCAGGCAGCAAACAGCAGGCTGGTGGCCTGAGGAGGCCCAGCCAGAGCCTGTTTCAACCAGAGCTGGGGGCCTGGCTGGGTGGTAGAGGCCCCGCCTAGCACACACAAGACCCGAGTTCCAGCGAAAGTACTGTCAAAATAAATAAACAGAAAGACCGGAAGTTCCTTGGAGCCTCCCATGCCACATCTGTCTGGCCGGGTCCTCCCTGGCCTGCCCAGCTCCGGCTTTCTAACCTGTTCCCAGCTCAAAAAACCTGGTGCTTTCATCCCTCCTCCCCCAGCAGCAAGTATCCGAGGGCCTCAGAGCCACACCAGGCCCCAGGCCGCACCCTGCCCTCCCCTCCCGAGAGCACAGGGCTCTTCCCTGCTTCCTCTCCCCAGACTCACGCACCAGGAGGCATCTGCCAGGGTGTTCTGCACTTCATTCAGACCCGTTGCATAACCGCATACAAGTTTAAACACATACACACACACACACACACACATGCTTCGGGAAAGGAATGACTGAATCTGATTGAAGAGCCGGCTTCCTTCTCACGCGGTTGTGCGCGAACAGCCTCCCTGGACTGCAGCTGGGACTTTGGCAGCATTCTCGCATCTATAATTTTACACCTGCAAGAGGCCCGCGGCCAGTCCTGTGCAGACAGACAGCTACCTG